GTTGCAGAGCCTTCCCAGGCGGTGAAGGGCGGAAGGAGCAGCCCGGGGCTGGCCTCAGAAGGGAACAGAGACCGCTGCTGGGGCCAGAGGAGGCAGGCGCTCAGCGCCAGACCAGGAGCTTGGCCTGTGTGCGGCTGCCTGCCGTTCCCCGGTGTGGTGGGAGTGTCCAGGTGCTGAAGCTGTATGAGGCAGGGCCAAGTCACCAGGGACCAATCTTCTCTCAGCCCACGTTTCCTGTCTAGGACTGCCTCACTGCTTCTCCCCAAATGGCCCCAATCCCCCCCCCCCCACACACACACGCACGCACCATATTCAAGAAGGGCTTCTACTGCTCAGTGTGAGATGGAGACAGCCATCTTCTTGTTGTTGTTCCCCCCCCCCCTTTTGGTTCGTTTGACTTTAATTTTATTTGGTCCATTTTAGGTCAATAATTAAATGTGCAACATGATTTGGTTACAAAAGTCTGTCTTTGGATCGAGGGACCTGCTCAGCGGCTGGTCTGGCCTGGTGCTGCATCTTTCTTACAGTTCAGAGGTCAGGGATGGAGGGGGGGGGGCTGCAGCGTCCTGGGAACAGAACCGCCTTGTCCCTCAGAGTGGGCGTGTGCCGTCTCGGAGTTCAGCCCCCATGCCCACGCCTCCTCATTGGGCCCCCCCCACCCTCCGTTTGGTATTCCTGCCCAGGGACAGAGGAGCCAAGCAGGCCCTTGGACGGCACTGGTGGGAAGGAGGGCCTGATGAGGCCTCAGCCCCGGAGGGAGGCGGTTCGGAACGCAGCAGGCGGTGCTTCCCTGTGCCCCCCCTCCCCCCACACCACGGGCACTGTTCTGTGTGAAGCAGTAGGGGGAACACCACAGCCCCGAAGGTAGCAGTTCTTTGTACGGGTTGAATGATGTCAGGAGAGGGACCATGTCCAGGAGCACCTGCTGTGCATGTGGAGGGTCCCAGGGTCAGTCCCATGACCTTGGGGTAGCCTCTGTCAGGCAGAGTTGAGCTAGGTGGACCAGGGATCTGGTTCTACAGAGGGCAACTTAGTGTGGTCAACATGTGAAGTATAAGACCCTGTCCAGAGGAGAGATGTGAAGGCCCAGGGGGGAAATGGGAAAAATTGGGAGAAACTCCCCCACCCCCAAGAGTGTCCCCCCCACACACAGTTTTTCCAGTGGAAAAATTGGAAATCTAAGAGTAGTGAAAAAGCCTCCTTATGAAATATTTCCTCTTTTAGAATGAGTGATCTGCTTTAAAGACAAGATGGGCATGCTGTGGACATGTATGGCTCTTAAATCCAAGATTGGTTTCTGCACCTAGAAGGATACCTACTCTTCATGAGGGGAGCCTGCAGGGCTTCCACGCCTTCCCGACTGTTCCACGCCTTCTGTTGGCCTTTTGAGCTGCCACAGCTGATCTTTTGGCCTCCCCCTCAAAGCACAGTGACAGGTCCTCCCCCCCCCCCCCCCCCCCCCCCCCCCCCCCCCGGGCAGGCTGGGTCCGGAGGGCCTCCTTGCCCTGCTTTGCTGGAGGAATAAAAAAAGACCAGCATTCTAACCGTTACATTCATATGGCAGATATTGAATTTTATATGCTAAGTAAATTGTATGCTGTTAAAGTATGCATTTTATGCTGTTAAAGCAGTAAAATCTGTTTAGATTTGATAGGACAGTAAGTATTGCAGATATTTCAATTTTTCCCAAGATTTCCACTCCACCCCCAAAAAAAACTGGGAGGGGGGGGGGAATTCCCCCCCCCCCTTTATGGGTTCATGGAAATTTTACATCTCTGGTTCATAATTTCTGGAAATTTTGCATCTGTAGTCTAGAGCGCCATCCATTCAAAGATAACCTCCTGCCAATTTCTCCCATCTAGTGCCGCCCACAGTGAAGTGGCTCTGTGCCCACCTGCCACCCCTGGTATATTGCCCGCGGTGGCTCACAGTAATTGGACCAAGGGCACGTCAGTCACCACTGTGTCTACCCTTTCCCCCTCCCCACCCTTGCACACCACCCCCTCAGCTCTGCGGCATGCACCCACCCTCCGTTTGGGGAGCAGGAGCATTCCTGTGCTGGCACCAATTTCTTTTTCAAGCCCCATAGCAAGAGCTAAACCCTTGGGCCACCGAGCTGCTGGCTGGGGTCAGCCTCTATCCACCCATCACCACAGGGCGGGATCTGGCTGTAGAGTTCAGTGGCCATGGTGAAATAAGGCCTGTGGTGGCCGACAAGCCCTGGATATTTTGTCCATTGGGCCGAGTCCCTGGGCCTGCTTCCGCGGCAGTCTTGCTGCCTGCTTGTGGTGGGGTTTCCCCGCTCCATCTGCTCTGAGAAACACGGAAGCTGCCCCCAGCTGCAGTCTGAGCCCTCTGCCTCCACGGGTCTCTGCGGGGTCTGCTGTCCTCAGGCCTCTCCTGGGAGCGGCTTCTCTGCCTTTCCACCCTCTCTGTGTAGCGCAGCACCCAGACCAGCCGCTGAGGAGCCCCCTCGACACCCTGCAATGTGAATGTAGCCTCTGGCGGTCCCTTGTGCGTTTGTGTGGACCTGGCTTGTGTCAGTTGGTTTCTTGGAGCACTGATAACCTGTTTTCAGTTCTTTCTAAAGGGTGGGGTGGGGGGAGGGACCTCATTTGCGTTTGTTTTTAGCTATCCTGTGATAACTTGTTGAATATTAAGAAAAATATTTTGCTTCTATTGGAACATTTGTATACTTGCGACTATATTTCTGTACACAGCTGCAGTCAAGAATAAAACTTTGAAAGTTTTTATTTCGCAGTGTTTGGTTGCTCCTGTGCCCTGTTGTTTTCAGATTCATGTACCGGAAGTGTTCATGGTCAGTTTCCCAAACACAGTGCTTCACAGCACAAGGAGGACTTGAAAAGGTGTTGCAAGGCCTTGGTTTGAGAAGTGAACCTCTCCAGTCCACTGTGCAGTTCCCAGGGGCTTCGCTGAACACAGCAGGGCCATGCCCAACCAGTTCCTGCCACTGAGATACAGAAGAAGAAGAAGAAGAAGATATTGGATTTATACCCCACCCTTCACTCGGAGTCTCAGAGCGGCTTACAATGTCCTTCCCTTCCTCTCCCCACAACAGACACCCTGGGAGGTAGGTGGGCTGCATGTGGAGGAATGGGCAATCAAACCCGGTTGTCCCAGATTAGAGTCTGTGCTCCTAACCACTACACCAAGGAGGCAGGATAAATACAAATAAATAAAGCTGTGCTTTGACTGTCAACTGTGGGTGGCAGTCGCTGCACAACCCATGTGGGGGTCAGCTGGTTCACGCCTGCCCCCACACAAATGCATGCCTCTCTTGGAAACACAGTTGGGGCTGGGTATCTCCTTCATGTGCCCAAGTTGGATTTACCTTCTCAGACTTTGGTCACAAGATAAGAACTCTCTGGAGATAAGAACTCTAAAGTTTTGTGGGGAGTGGCACGTATGCTAGGTAACATTAACTCACAGGTAAATATAGAAAAAAACCTCAAATGGCATATCAATAAAATACATGGCATGATAAAATATGAGCAAGAAGGCATTACAGAGACAGCAAAATAAGACTGATCATACAGAAAGCTTGTGTATTTAACTGCTTCAGCCAAGAATCTAGCGCATCTTGGCCTTTTGGCTAAGATCAAGTGTAAAAACCTCAAAGTGCACAAAACATGGATTCTGATGTCTCTGCACTAATGCTCAGAGTATGGGAAACAAGCAGGAGGAACTTGAAGTCCTAATACAGGAAGAGACTATGACCTAACTTGGTGGGATGACACTCTCAACTAGAATATTAGGATTGAGGGGTACAAGTTATTTAAAAGGGACAGACAAATAAGTAAGGATGGAGGAGTCACATTATATGTAAAGGAGGAATATAAGGTAAAGGTTCCCTTGCTCGAAAGCCAGTCGAATCCGACTCTAGGGTTGCGGTGCTCATCTCCGTTTCAAAGCCGAAGAGCCAGCGCTGTCCAAAGACGTTTCCGTGGTCATGTGGCCGGCATGACTAGACACCGAGGCGCACGGAACGCCGTGACCTTCCCACCGAAGTGGTCCCTATTTATCTACTTGCAATTTCTTGCTTTCGAACTGCTAGGTTGGCAGGAGCTGGAACTAGAGACGGGAGCTCACTCCATCATGCGGCACACTCGGGTCTCAAACTGCTGAACTACCGACCTTCCACAGCCTGCAGTTCAGCATCTTAACCACTTGAGCCACCGCAGCTCCTAAAGGAGGTATATACTTGTGAGGAAATACATGAGTTTGAGCACGGAAGTCCAGCAGAGTCTCTGGGTAAAAATAAAAGGAGTAAGAAATAATAGTGATATTATGGTGGGGGTCTGCTATAGACCACCAAGTCAGGCAAAGGATTTGGATGAGACACTCCTACAACAGATTACAAAGTTCTCAAAGAGACAGGGCATGGTGGTCATGGGAGATTTCAATTACCCAGATATCTGTTAGAAGTCCAACTCTGCTAAGAAGGAAAGTTCCAATGAATTCCTGACTTGTCTTCCTGACAACTTCATTTTACAGAAAGTGGAGAGGGAAACAAGGGAATCTGTTGTCTTGGACTTGATACTTACCAACAGGGAAGAACTGGTTGACGAGGTGAAAGTAGTGGCACCCTGGGTAGTAGTGACCGTGTAATTTTGGAATTCAGTTTTGGGGAAGGTAAAAGCTGCACATAGTCAGACATAAAGGTTGGACTTCAGGAAAGCAAATTTTGACAATGTTGGGTAGAATCCCACGGACAGAAATACTTAAGGAGAAGGGAGTTTCTTAAAAACAAAATAATGAAGGCAGAATCACAGAAGATTCCCATGAAAAGGGAAAATGGGAGGAGCCTAAAGACAGGTCCCACTGGCCTGGGACCTCTTTTGTTCAACATCCGTATCAACGATTTGGATGAAGGGACAGAGGGAATACCTGTTAAATCTGCAGGTGATACTAAATTGGGAGGGGTAGCAAATAGAAGACAGGCAGGATACACGATCTTGACAGGCTGGCAAACTGGGCTAAAACAAAATGAATTTCAGTGGGGATAAACGTAAAGTTCTGCATTTAAGTAGGAAAAATCAAATGCATAATTATAGGATGGGGGAGAAGTGTCTTGGCAGTAGTATGTGTGAAAAGGATCTAGGGATCTTAGTGGACCATACCCTGAACATGAGTCAGCAGTGTGATGCGGTAGCTAAAAAGGCAAATGTGATTTTGGGCTGTATCAAGATCATGCAAAGTGATGGTATCGCTTTACTCTGCTCTGGTTAGACCTCACCTAGAGTACTGTGTTCAGTTTTGAGCACCACAATGTAAGGCGGCTGTGGACAAGCTGGAACGTGTCCCGTGGAGGGCAACGAAGATGGTGAGAGGAAAGGTTGAAGGAGCTGGGTATGCTAAGCCTGGAGACGACTGAGAGGTGATAGGATCACCATCTTCAAGTACTTGAAGGGCTGTCATATAGAGGATGGTACGGAGTTCTTTTCTGTTGCCCCAGAAGGTAGGACCAGAACCAGTGGGTTGACATTAAATCAGAAGAGTTTTTCGCTAAACATTAGAAAGAACTTCCTGACAAGTGGTTCCTCAGTGTAACAGGCTTCCTCGGGAGGTGGTGGGCTATCCTTTGGAGGTTTTCAAACAGACGCTAGATGGCCATCTGACAGCAGTGCTGATTCAGTGAACTTAGGTAGATCATGAGAGGGAGGGCGGGAAGGGGATGCATCAGTGCTTAGTTCTTGTGGCCCTTTCTTACACGCTGATCACCACTGTGGGGTCAGGAAGCAATTTTTCTTCAGGTCAGTTTGGCTGGAGATCTTGCGTTTTTTTGTTAACTGGACATGGAACAGCGGTCACTGGGGGGGTGTTTGTAAATTTCCTGCATCATGTAGGGGGTTGGACTAGATGACCCCAGAGGTTCCTTCCAACTCTGGGATTCTAAGAGGGGGTGGTGTCCTCCCCCTTTCTTATGTAGTTCTTTATTAATAATAGCACAGACATTCTACGGACTCACAAATATACAGATTGCCCTTGCAAGGTCTGTGTTGCCTCCTCTCTTTCCTGTACAGTTCTGCACACTTGGCTTTCAACCCCCCATGACACATGCGTGAAGAAGGATATCCTGAGGCTGGAACACGTCTACCCTGTTCTTCTCTGCCTGGAGCCCAAAGCTCTCAGTCCTTGATGCACACTTCTGGTTTTGCCTCTCAACAGCACAGTTGTATTTCACACTTAGAAACACAGACATAGAGTTGGAAGGGTCCCAGGGGTCATCTAGTCCACCCCTCTGCTGATGCAGGAAATTCACAGCGATCTCTCCACTCCCCAGTGACTCCTCCTGTGTGCCCAGAAGAAAGCAAAAAACCTCCAGAATCCCCGGGCCAGTGAGGAAAATTCCTTCCTGACCCCCAAAGTGACGATCAGTATTACCCTGGGCGTGTAAGAAAGGGTCACCAGAGCCCTTCCTGCCCTCCCTCTCATGAGCTGCCTAAATTCATAGTGAGTCACTGAATCTGAACTGCCGTCAGATGGCCATTTAAGCCTCTGCTTAAGAACTGCCCACCACCACCTCCTACGGAAACTTGTTCTACTGGGGAACCCCTCTTCCTAACACTTGGCCAAAAATTCTTGATTTAATTCCACCCGTTGTTTCTAGAGTAGCAGAAAACAACTCTGCTCCACTGTCTGAGAGTCCTTCCTGTCCGCATGAAGCCAAATGTTTGCTGTATTAACTTTGCCCCGGACAAATGCCCTGAGCTCTATTTTCTGAGCAATTCCAGAGAGATAATCATGTTACTCTCTTGGAACATGATCGGGGAGACTGGCAGCATCTGAAAGACTGAGACTTCTTGTAGAACAAATTTAGAGTCCAGTCAGGCACCTTTAAGACCAACAACAGTTTATTCAGGGTATGAGATTTCGTGTGCAAGGCACACTTCTTCAAATGCATGGGAATGGTAGATGAGGTTCTAAACTTCTAGACAGGGATTTAACAGCTAATTAACATGTAGCATGATGTTAAAGTTATGCAAAGTGAAAAACTAAATAACAAGTTAACTAGTTCTTGTGGTAAGTTTATGGCCTCGAGGCATAAGCGAGTGAGCAAGTAGTTGCTTTTAGACAAATGTGCTCGTGCAAGAGAGAATAGTTTGCCAGAAGCAAGCGAGGGGGGGGGTTACTTAAACTACTGACTACCCCCTCATGCCTCTTGTTCCCTCCCTAGAGCCAGCAATCTCCGGGGAGGCTGATCTTTTTGGCTGTGGTGGTTGCCTGGCATGGTGCGATTGTGTGAGGCCGACTGGGGAGAGGGGGAGGAGCCGTGTGTGTGGGGGGTGGCTGGAGCTCAGCTGAGCTCCGTTTCTGAGCTGAGAGGCCGGCACAGGGCCTCCCCGCACAGGGCCTCCCATTGGCTGATGCGGCTCCTGAAGCCTCTGCTCCGAGCTGCCCTCTGCCTTGGCCTGAGGGCTCCTGACAGCAGGGAGGAGAGTTTCTGCTGCTCTTTGGAGCCGGAGCCTCCCACTTGTACTGCCTCCATGCCAACCTCCTTCCCCTGCGATGCACGCCTTCCTTCACTGGCCTTCACAAGAAACTTGAAAGCGCGTGGGGGGGGGGAATGGGGGGAAGATGTGGCTTTGGCCTTCGGGAGACATGCCTGATGCCCCTTGCTGAACTCAGGGCTGGAATTTGGTGCCACGGCCAAGGTTTGAATCCAGCCCTTTTGTCTTTTGCCACAGTCTCTGGCCGTTGGCCTTAGCGGCCTCCCTCCCTCCCTCTGGGACTGCCCGATGGACCCACCCACATGGCCGCTGCATTGGAAGAGTGCTCACAGCTGCAAACTCTGCTGGCCCCAAACCACCTTGCATAACCTGCAGCTGCCTGATTTGGACGCATGCCCACTTTTAGAAAATGTTCTCCATTAAGACAGGTGCTGGCAGTGGTTGAAAAAATCCTCTTTTATTTCAAGACTCAGATTTGCGCACGGACAGACTGCTGCAAGAGAAGCCCCACCCCCTGTGTTCAAAGAGCAGAAAGGAGGCAACATCCAGAAAGTTAACTGGAGAAGTGCATTAAAGGCTAGAAACCAGCTGAGGCTGGAGTGAAATGATGACTGGTATGTTCAGACAGAGGGAAGTCTCAGCAGTACAGAGGCAGCTACACTTTTAAGGCCAAGAGCAGAGAAGGAAGAGTGCTAAATGCCCCCCAGCAAGACGCTTGGGAGATACTCCTCTGGTATCATCTCCACCTGCTTGCTTGACCTCCATTTGCAGCTGGGTTCCCTGTAGCGCTGTTTAATCAAGGCACGTGTCCAGGAGAGACCCCAGCGGAAAGGAAGCCTGCTTCTGCCTTGCTAGATGCCACTGAGCTGCCCGGAAAAAGAAGGCGTATCACTGCAAACCCCACCCCGAATGATCCCCAGGACTGGTTATTTCTTCTGGGCTTTGACCTGATTGTCAGGTGGGAGCGGCTTCCCCAGGTGCTGGCCCACCGTCAGCCCGTATTTCTGGCCTCGCAGCTGTTCTTCCACCTCTTTCTTCAGGAGGAAGCCGCCGGGGAAGCTCAGGTCAAAGCTGCTAGTGGGAGCAAACGTGAGGGGCTTTTCGTCCCAGATGGTCCCCAGTCTCTTCTTCCATCTCTCCAGGATCTGGGAACGAGCCTCTGGTGGGGTGTGCGCAATGCTGAAGGCTATCTGGGGCTCCAAGATCTGGAAGCCACAGAAGTGCAGGGTGCCGCTCTGCAGGGGGAGAGAGAGGGCTCAGAGGGGGAGGAGCTCCACCTTACACCTGCAGCAGGATCCGGCCAGTGCTCGTGGCCAGCTGCGTGCTGGTGCTGCTGACAGGCACCTTGGCTGCCTGCCCTGCTTGCACCTGCACCCCTCCTTCCCCAGCTGCCCTGGGGCACTTTTGTGCTGGCTTTCAGGAGGGACACATTGCTAGGACTTTGGGAGGACAGTTGTGGCCAGAAGCACTTCTTCTGACCAGCTGGAGGAAGGGTCCTCTGTGACCTGGGGGCCCCTAAAAGCGGGGGGGGGGAGGCAGCCCCTCCCTCTGTGGGCCTACCAGACTAAGGCTCTGGCAGCCAGGTGGGGTTTTGCGTCCTCACCTGCACAGGCCAGAGGAGAATGTTGATGTCGCCGATGATTCCTTGGGGGGAGTACATAGAGCCTATCCCGCCGGTGGTGAAGGACAGCAGGGCCTTCTTTTTCTGAGAGGACCAAGCATGCTGCGGGTCAGTGACTCCAGGGGGGTGGCTTTGCAGAGGGACCCCCCCCACCCCCTGGAGGGCTCACCCGTCTGGCCTTCCTTGCCCGTCCCCTTCCCAGGGAGGGTGCGCCTGGGCTGGAGCTGCTTTCCTGGGCGGCAGGAGAGCTGCTCTGGCGGGGCGGGGCGGGGGCTTCCACGTACCTGGAAGGGCCCTTGCTCGTACATGGTGGCATAGGAGTAGGCAAAGCCTTGCGTGAAGACGCGTTCATACCACCCTTTCAGGATGGCCGGCACGCCAACCCACTGGAGGGGGAACTGGAGGGAAAGCACAACAGGGTTGGTCTTCAGGTTCCAGCGCGGCCCCTCCCAGG